TTAAATATGTTATAGTTGTGTTCAGTTGTGTTTTGATATAAGTTAAGATGTTTTTGGCTTAACACATATTCGGTAAGTAATTACAAAACCGAAAACCCATCAAAATGGCAATATCTTATTGTGTTATTTGAAAAATACCAAAAATTGTTAAATAAAACATTACCAACAAATTATAGTTATTAAAAAATGATAAAATTATTTTTCTTATTTTAACGTGTTTGTATTTAACTTTTTAAACATACTGTTTATATTGATTGAATTAAATTTGTATAAAAAACGACCACACAACAAATAATATATTAATTGGCTGAATTTATATATTAAAATTTATTTATCTATATTTTTACTATATCAAATACCAAACAATTAAAAAATGAAACAATTTTAATGTGAAAAATTATAAATCGCGACAGAGTTATTACAACATCTGGTCATTGGTAACTGTGTGTTGAAACAATCGGTGTGTATTTAAACAACCAAATCACACAACTTAACATCAATACATGCCAGTGACATACACTACCAATGTTGCAGAAGTGAAACAATCAATCGAAAACAACAAGAACGTTCTTGTAATCTTCTACTCTCCCGACTGTGCAAAGTGCAAGGCAAGTGCGCCAATGATGGACAAACTTGCTGACGAACACACAAACCTCAAATTCTTCAAAGTTGATGCAACTTCAGCAACTGATTATGCTGCTGAATACTCAATTGCATCACTTCCCACATTTGTCTTCTTCCAAAACAAGAAAGTCGTGAAAAAGGCGCCTGGAAGTTCTGAAGTACTTGAGGAGATTCTCAAAATGGTGCAGTAACTAATTCACTGCTTTTTCATATTTTTTGTTTTCAATATTATAAATGAAAGTTATGTTTTCACATAAAAGTATTGTTGTATTTGTATTAAAGTGTCAAGACTCAAAGTTTGATATTGAGTCTTGACAAATGGATTGTGTAGACGTGTCATGTTGGATAAAAGGAACTGATGTCAGAACAGTCATCAGAAAGCATGGTGATCCACTTGGAGATGTTTGGAAATGTTGTAACAAAACACAACAAGCCTTTACATAAAAAGGCAGTCAAAACAGTCACATACATCACACTGAACAAGCAAGACGATAAGAAACAGAAACGGTGGGCTTATCAAAATCTCAAGAACAAGAAACCAAAAGGTAAGAATCCAACACACATTGAAATACGTTCACAATTTGCTCTTATCTGATTGCCATTCAATTTGATTTAATTACTGTCTTATTATTGTTGTTTTATTTTATCAATTTAAATTCTATATAAAATATACTTCTAATTAAATAAAATAAACAAAATACACAAAAAATAGTCAGACAGACTTCAGTGCCTCTCATCTCAGAGTGTTGTGCACGCACTCGACCCCTCAACAAGCAGTTCATCGTGCATTGCTGCGTATCTCCCTTTGGCACTGAAGTGATGAAAGTCTTCATCCTATTTTGTGAATTCTATTTGTTAGATAGAAAGTGACATACTCTAAGAATGATCCTAGTCGTACGGTCTAATTCTTGTTTTTTATTTCTTTATATTTATAATTATTGCCATTTTCAATAATTATGGGTTTCATTTTTAATTATGATATTATTTAATAATTTAATTTACTACAACTTATAATATCAATTTATAGTTATTTTAAATTAACAAATACCATATATTATAATAAATAATAAATAATTTTTTAATAATTATGTAATTAATAGTAAATTAATTACATAATAGTATCTTATGCCATTTTTACAGAGCACCACGGATTAATCGAATATGTTTCTCCAATACAAAACACCACTTTTCGTCTGCGTAATCTGGATACCATGTATTACATTCCCGGTTATTTAGTATTCAGTTCAATATTTTATTTAACGTCGCAAACACAAATAAACATAGACTTCATCTATTTTGTATGTCAACAAAATGTTCATTGAACTTTTTGGCTATGAACAAAACCTTTTAGAATACAACGAAGAGAGTTGTCTTGGAGAAATAACACCAATAAAAGAAGTTTGTTCAAACGCAAGTCAGACGAAAACAATTGAACTTTGCAGTGGTATTAATGGTGCGACGGTTGTGCCTATTTTGAAGGGAATTCAGTGCAATGGAGATCTCAAAATTAAGACATTTCAGAACCAAAAGAAAAACGGAATTTGCGATATGTTGTACTCTATCAACGAAACAAAGGCACAAATATCTGCTTTAATTTGGAAGAAAAAAGAGGAGAAAGGCGTGGAAAGTGAAAAGAAAAAGTATGTGTTTGGAACTGTGTTTATTATGCTTGAAAAACAATGCAAATATTGATATGTTTCCATGCGACACGTTGCAATGTGTAACCATGTTTTAACGTTCAACAATCTAAATTCTGCCCGGTGTGTAGAGATGTTTACAAAAACACGATTCAGTTTGTTTAGGCTATGAATTATTATTCATTTTTATTTTATTACAAGCCACTGATAGTTGTGAATTTGAATCATTAAAATTTCTTTTATTTTCGTAAATTAATATAAGTATATTTTACTATAAAACGGGTCAACCATAATTTGGAATTTTTTTAATTTTTGATAAAATTGTTGTTTTTTGTAAATAAGTTGTTTGCAATTTAAAATATATTAAATTTTTGTCTAAATAACAAAGGTTAAAAAATTACAATATCTATTAACAAGTTTTAAGTATAGTTGTTATATTTCTTTTATTTATTTGTATTTATTAACTAATATTCAATTTCAATATTGGTTAAAAATTCATGTAAATATAACATCGCTTGTTGTTTTATAACCAAATTCTGATTCTATTTTAAATGTACCATTTGTTGTACCAACTATTTTTAAAAAGAGTGAGTATCAGGGATTTTTATCTGCTTAAAACAAAAAAGACATAAATGAAGAAGTTCTTTTTTCGTTCCTACAAAACATAATAAGTGTTCATTCAAAAAAACAATGTTGTTCGTCCGTTTCATTCAATATATTCAAGTACAATTTTGTTTTTAATAATAAATTTCTAAAGTTTATAATTAAGTTTGGTCAAAAATTCACATAATTTTACTGTTTTTTCAATTTCTACAACAAGTCAAATGTTGTAATTTATAATTCCAAGTGTAAAAAACGAATCAGTATGTAAGGGTAATAATACAATCACCTTTTAAATAATTTATTATATACAATAAAACAAAAATATTATTTAATAACTTTAATGATAAATCAAACTTAAAATAACAGCTTCCATGCAGAATTTTGTCTAACCACATGTTGTAATTAAAAATAGTGATTATATGTTTTTGTATTTAAACTCATAAAGTACAAGAAAAATATTTTATTTTAATGACTACATTTTTGCTTATTATTGCAGTTTTACTTTCATTAACATGTGGTGAATCAATGAATTTCGATGGTGACTATTTCGATACAACGTTTGAAGATAATGATTTGACTTTATCAAAGCCAAATATCCTACCAATCAAAAAATTGGAAATCAATCAGCCTTTGAAAAAAGAAATTTTACCAAAAGTAATTAGTCCGAATAAACTTGAACCAGATAAGAAATTGAATGAGAAATTATTGAAAGAGCCAAAGCTTCCCCCAAAAGATAAAACCAAAAAACAAGTCAAACAAGGAAACAAGTTAAAACAAAAAATAAAATCGTCTGATTTTGGTGCATTTGGAAAAATGATGTTTTGATAATTGATTTGATTATCGCTATTTTTTGTCATAAAAACACTATTTGATTGCATCAATTATTTATATCAATAAAAATTAAAACTAAAAGATATAAGCTAACACCAAAAAGACAACAAAACTTATTTTAAAAGATCATCATCAGTTTGCTTTTTGCAATTTTGAAAACAAAAAACGCCCAACCTTTTTTAAAGCGACAATGTCAAATTGTCCAAGTCGAATGCAATTGTAGAACACAAAATCGCCAACAACAACTTCACTTGGGAAAGTTAGTTTTGACAAATTTTTACATTCAGCAAAACAATAATTTCCGATGAACTTCATCTTCTTTGGCATGTAAACTTCAGCAAGATTCGAGCAGTTGTTAAACAGGAGTCTCCCAAAAAAGTCACAGCAAGGGGGATATTCACACCTTTAAGTGTAACACAATTTTCAAAACAACTTCTTCCTACACTTTTAAATCATTTTGCAATACAATTTCAACAAGAGAACTGCAACTATTAAAACAACACTTTGAGAGTCTTGAGATACCTTTTGGAATATTAATAATTGAAAGTGAAGAGCAATTTGAAAAACAGAATTTTCCAATTGTCTTTAAGTTTAATGGGAAATTAAATTCCGACAGCGCCACACACGTGAAAAAGCAGAAATTTCCAAGACTTACAGTGTCATTCGATACAAACACCCTTTCAAGTGATTTACATTCGTAAAACGCGTTCTCTTCAAATTTAGTTGTGTTTGGAGAGAATTTGGCTTCTCTTAAAGAATTACAGAAACTGAAACAGCTCTGTGGAATTGTTTTAATATATTTTGGGCATTTTATTTTCGATATATTGACGCAATTTGAAAAGCAGTTATTTCCAAGAAACAACAAATTTGTTGGTAAAACAATTTTTCTCAACATTTCACATTCAGAAAAGCAGTTATTTCCCAACGAAATGATTTCATTGTTTAATATCACTGATCTCAAATTTGTACATTTTTGAAAGCAACTGTTGCCAAGAGCAGTTAAATGATACTTATCACTTTCACTTCTTTGAAAAGGAGATTTGAAGTCTATTGATGTTAAAAAATAACACGATGAGAAACACGAATCTCCCAAAATATTCACATTTTTTGGAACTTCGTCGCCAAAAAAATAAACGTTCGCTTAACCCATACATCAAATGAAGAAATTTATAACTCTCGTTTGTGTCTTTCATCAAATGATAATACATGTAACTGGTTGGATAGTAAATGATCCGTTTAAAAAAGTGTATGTCAGAAAATGGTTCGTCTTCTTTGTGATATTGATGAAACGTTTCAATCTGTGTAAAGTATTTGAGTTGTGTTTTGGTGAGTGGAATCGGATTAAAATGGAACTTGTCAACTGTTTTTTCAAATCTTTTGCAAACACTCAAAGCGTATGAAATCGTCCATGGACATAAAATATATTGAAACAATCATTGCACTATGACCATCCAACTTCTTCATGTTTAAAATTTTAAAATTTTATTTTTTATTATTTTAGAATAAAAAATAGTTTGTCCAATTAGATTTTTATTAATTTAGTAAAATTAAATTATAATAAATCTTAATAATAATAATTCATATTACTATTATGAATAATAATAATTATTATTGATTTAAACAGTATTTTTTTGTTTTAATTTTTAATAGTTATTCAAGTATTATATTAATACAGTATGACAAGTTTGACTTAAACCAGAGGTTTCCAAAATCACAATCCAAACTACCCACGTCACCATTTTATAACCAAAATGTTCATTTTCTCTTATAAATTCGTACGTTATAATACCACATTTTCGGCAATAATCATTTTGGAAACGCCTGACTTAAACGACAAGTTTGGGTTAAATGGTAAAAATTATAATTTAATTATAATAAAAATTTAAACTATAACCAGAACTAATTAATTGCTTTTTTATTATCAAGTTTATATAAAAAATTGAATAATTAAAAGCAAGCCAAAAACCCAAACACACAACATAAAGAATAAGAAAGCAATGAAAAAAGTAAAGATAATTATAAACTATCACACGATCATTAACATTTTAATGTGATCACAAACAATAAAGTTTTATCAAAATTTGTCAAATAAAGTAACCATAACATTTCAAATTCAATTATAAATACAGTCGAATTTCCCTAGAGTGTGTAATTATTATTTTTGTTGTTCTCTATTATTTGAGCATTCTTAAGAACAAACCAAAAACAAGATAGACATGCTCTTTAAAGAGTGGGTCCACTTTTTATTGGCCAAAATCAAGCGATGATTCTTAATAAATCCCACTCTTGGGAGGTTGC